GAGCCATGAGCTGCGGCTCTCTCCTGCAACCACCTGCGGCCTCCACTGCCATCAACTTTGCGATCAACCGATGCCAGTCCTGCATTCCCGCAGTTCTCACCTGCAATCACACAGTCAAACCACACCTGTCCTTGCCATGCGTATGCATCCAGTCCGGTCCAGGACACACAAACACCACTTCTCTAGCCGTCAGCCACCATAGACCAATCATCTCTACTCCAAGCCAGCATTCGTAGCCGGACCTAACCACCATAACCTCACGGCCAGAAACAGCCAGAAGGAACCGCTCAGCCGCCAGCTGCTAGAACCACAAGCTTGCACCTGCAGCCCCTGCCCAACCAGCCTCGTCACAGCCACGCACCCAGCCTCCTCAGCCACACAGAGCTAGCCACATGCAGACCGAACCGCAGCCAATTCTCCTATGCATATCTCTGTCCAGGTTCTTTCCAGGTTCTATCCTTCTCAACCGCTCCAAGTGGTGGTTCTGTTCAGGGCACAAAATGGCTCTACCTACTGGTAACATCATTTCCATAACCTTTTATTTGGCCTTAATTGGCCTACAACTCTTAAAATGTCGGAGGTTACATCCTAAAGTACAGGAACAAATTCCTACATGGGAAACCCTACCCAAAACAATAGCGAATTTTAGCCAATCCAGGCTACTTATCGCTTCACCTGGAAGACCTACTTGAGTTGGTTGCAATTAATTCATATCACTCTCAAGGGAAATGGACAACTCAACCACTTCTTAGGCACTGGATCAAAAATAGAGGATCACGCTTTTGACCCGTGATGAGGAAGACTCAATGATCATGACGTGGCTTTACCACTCTCTGTTGCCAGATATTAGTAAAACAATTATGTTCCTGCAGCCAAAGAAGTATGGGGCTCAACCAAAGGTACCTATTCTAAAATCAAAGATGCAGCCCAAATCTATAACTTGGATATCAAGACATGGTCCACGAAGCCAAAAAAAAGACCAATCACTGAATACTCTAACATGTTGAAAGGTCTCCACTAATTTGTTAATAAAGATCGAGCCTATTAGTTTCTGGCAGGACTTAACCAGGAGTTTGATCAAGTAAGAGTCCAAATCTTATGCATTGAAAAAATATTAATTAATTAATATTGTATCAGCAGAAGAGAGCAGAAGAAAGATCATGTTAAAAACCTAGTCCACTGATAGCTCAACACTAATCTCCAAAGGTCTCAAGTCACGCCAATAGATAAATGAACTAAGTCAAACAAGAAATTCCAAGCCTAGTACTGACAACAAGAATAATTTTTAGTGTACTTTTCACATGAAACCCAAACACACCAAAGATAAATCTTGGGAACTCCATTACAAGCCCAATACCCTCAAGCAATGACTGAGGTTACACAAAAGTCCTATAGATAGGTTCATGTGGCCACCAAAAAGAGAAAGACAAAACTACTAATACTTAAGGATTCAAAGTTGAGATAGAATGACTGTGAAGCAGACAAACCCACAGGTATACTGTCTTTCTCAAAGGGTTCTAATGCCTCGATAGACAATATGAAAACTCATCGATAGTGGATTCAAGGGGCCACTAATTATACGATCAACACTTCCATATTTTCACACTTACGTGTCATGCCTAATAGTAGAAAAAATGTCATTACTGATGCTTCTCTAAACCCCATTAATAAAAATGGCAAAATCAAGTTGAGTCCAACCCTAGTGTTCTTCTAAGTGTGTTGCATGTTCCTAAACTATGTACAAACTGTGTCAATCACAAAATTATCATAATATTTGAATTATAAAGTGACATTTTTTTTCTTTTAAGTATAACTTTTAGGATTACAACTCAAGGATAATGATTGGACATTCTGAAGCTAAAAATAGAGTGTAATACTTGGATACACCTAGTGGATCTCTCTGCTATTTCCACAGACATTAATTGCAAGTTTTGACTCTACCACAAGAAACTTAGTCATCCATCATTTTCCATTTTAAAAGTTATATTTTCTATGTTATTTAAAAATTCTGATTATGGAAATTTACATGGCAATACATGTAAATTAGTCATATATAAACGTGTATAATTTCCTATTAGCAATAAAAGAAGCATGCTTCCATTTTCTTTAATCATACTGATGTTTGGGGGTCATCCTACATTATCAATATTTTTTAAGTTTGATAGTTTGTGTTATTTTTTTATGATTGCAGTAAGATTACGAAACTTTTTAACTCAAATCCGAATCAGATATTAGCCATATAATACTCTGGTTTCGCAAAATGACAAAATTCAATTTGGAACCCACATAAAACGATTTTGCACTGACGACACAAAAGACTTTATTAACCACACAATCTCCTCCTTTTTCCACCAATAAGGGATTATTCATGAATGATCATGTATCCACACCCCACAATAAAATGGAGAGGTAGAACGTAAGAATTATCTCATTCTTGCAACTATTAAGAGTGTTTCTATTTCAAAACCACGTCCCAGAAAATATTGGGGTAAAACCGACCTTACCGCCACATAAATTATTAACTGCTTACCATCAAGTGCCCTCGAATTCAAAAGTTCTCTAAAACCCTTTCTAAATTCTACTCAGAAATAAGTGTTCTGGTCCAGTCGATGGATCTGCCACGAAGCAGATACAGGATCAAGATGAATTTCCATCACGTTTCATCCATGAACATGGAGAGTTTCATGTCAACCTCCTTCGTAGTGATCGGCTCGGGATTTTCTGGTTCTGATACCACCTTGTCAGAAGCTTTTGACACGATTATCTGATCTAAGAAAGAACGAATGAGAAGCGATAAAGAAGAGAGAAAGAGAAGAGAAACAAAGAGGGAAATCTGAGAAATATTCTTATTCTTTTTCTTAATTATTAAAAGCACCCCAATCACCAGCCGAAATCAGTAGTTGATTGTGATGCAACGGCAGTTGCGATGAAGATTATTACATAAATATTAACCCTAACCCTAAATTTAATTGATACATAAAAAGACTAATTTATCCGTTTTGTTATTTCTCTTTTTTTTTTTACCGTTAATGTCCTTACAAGAATCCATTTCTACATGAAGATCTACAAGAAGAAATCTATATAGAGATCCCACAACGACCTGACAGAAGAGTAGGGTCACATAAAGTTTCTAAATTGAAGAAGATACTTTATGTACTCAAGCAATCACCTAAAGCATGATTGATAGATTTGCAAGGTTGATGACAAGCTTAGGATAGAAGGAAGCTCAAAGAGACCACATCATGTTTATTAAGTATTCTGATATAAGGGAAGCTACCATTTTTCTAGTATATGTTAATAACATTATTGTAACCGAAGATGATGAGAAAAACAAATTGATGTTCAAGCAATGCCTAGTTAGAAAATTCAAAATCAAGGAACTAGTTAAGTTGAAGTATTTTCAGAGAATTGAAGTCATTCGTTCAAAATAAGAAATCTTCATCTCCCAGCAGAAATACATTCATAACTTGTTAAGAGTATTGGCAAATTAGCATGTAACGAGCTAGTACTCCTATGAGTCTCAATCATAAGCTGGCACTAGCAGGAGAGGATAAATCAATAAATAAAGAAATGAATCAGAGATTAATTAGGAGACTGATATACCTGTCATACACAAGACTCGACATTGCCTATATAGTTAGTGTTATAAGTTAGTTCATGAACAATTTTTAAAAAGTACACTTACAAGAAGCCTACAAAGTGTTATATTAATTAAAAGAGTCACTTGGGAAAGGAATCATGTTCAGAAAGAGTGATAAGTTGCTCTTAGAAGCCAATATGAATTAATATTAAGCAGGGTCAATGGTGGACAGAAGATTTACCACAGATTACAATACCTTCTTTAGGGTAACTTCCTTACATAGAGAAATAAGAAACGAAATTGTAGTTGTAAGGTCGAGTCAGAATTAAAATTCTTACCAATGGCTCAAGGGGTATGTAAATTACTAATAGCCCCATGAGCCTAATCCTGTAACAACAAATTGACCATAAGTATTGTCCACACTATGGTCAACATAATAAAACCAGACATATTGAAGTTGATATGTATTTCATTAAAAAAAAAGAAAGAAAAAAGCTAAACAATAGCTTAGTATATAACTCAAAACATGCCAACTAACTCACAGCTTGTAAATGTCCCCATTAAAAGTATGAGTAATCCAGCATTCTATATTATTATTGTCAAGCTGTGATAGGCAATATTTATTCCCCAGTTTGAGGAAAAGTGTTGAAAAGGTTATGTAAGTAGGTTAAAAAGCATTAGGGTAAAGTACACTCCTTTTTTTTAAATATTAAGGTAAAATACATACTATGTAATTAATGTAATTAATGGTTTATTTCTTTTTCTATATACAAAACTTATATACATAGAACTATAATGTTCAATAAAATACACATTCAATTTAGATTATCATATACTCAACCGTCTATTTTAATTTAAAAATATATACTAACTTAATAGAAATTATGAAATTATTTTAGTTACCAATGTATATAGATAATAGAAAGGATAGGAATGAAACAAAATTGGAAGTTATAATGTCCTTCTTTGGGAAAATTAATATATTTTCATGTCAAAACAATTTAATTATGAATAGAGAATTCAAATAAAATAAAAACTTAAATATCCTCACCAAGTACGTGTTAATTAGTCTAGCAGTCAATTAAGTAAAAAGTATCCGAACTTCAATTATTGTGAAATGTTTATACAATAATTTATTTGATAAAAAAAGTTAAAAGTATTTTTGGATTGGAAAAAAATTAGAGATAAGTAGAAAAGGTAAATAGGAGAATAGAAAATGTAATTCTTGAATTTTTATAAAAAGAGACCTTTAGGTTTTTGAAAAAATATGATGAGTTGGCAGGAAGTCAATGTCTTCTAAAGGTGATTAATGGCTAATTAATTGTTGATTAAAGGGTAATTATAAGGTGACAAATTTAAGTTACCCTTCTAGTAATCCGCAAATCTAGAAAGATAATATAAAGTAAGATGCTTTGCAGGACCATCTATAATCAAGGCTAAGGGAAGTCGATGTCTTCCCTGCCAAGCTATTAGAACGTCCAACATTCTTTAACAATTGTAATGCTTACTAAATGATAAGGACATCAAAGTTTTACCTGGTGAATAAATGGTTCCATTTGGCTCAATAAATCATAACCCTAAATATTAAAGAGATTAAGTTAGTTCATTGCACGCATAAAGTAGGTAGAAGCTTAGTACATAGGAAAAATTTAGGAAAAAAAAATACATACTAGCTTAAAGTATCTCAGATGGGCATCCATAATTGCACTTATAGACTCCAGGAACTCGTACTTCTTTTTGGATTCAACATTCATCAGTGCACTTACCTGTATTCCTTAAACACACAGAAAAGTTCCTTTAGAAGAAGAAATTGAATAGATATTTAATTTATTAGAAAAAGTTAAATGGAGACAAATATTTACTAAACATACTAAATTGAAGCGGCTTCTTTCAAATGCCGATTTTGAGTTCTGTAAATCCTGCAATGAGAAAAAGAATATGCTCCTTAGTTTTGCTTACATTAATCTTCTTTTAAAATTATGGAAAAGGAAGAACTATCTATCAAATAATGATAGACTAATTAGCTAGGATCTTATTTAATTATTCTTATGATATATTATTCTAATTAATCTGCTTATTTTCCTATTTAGTAGAAATTTAGATAGACTTAAAGAATTGTATTTTGGTACCTATAAATAGTACCTAACTTAGTTGTTTGGAATATTATTCATATGATTAATGTACAAGCATTGAAATATTAATTTAATCATTAAGATCACAGACACACCTATTTTTGGTTCTTAATAAAATTTTCTCAGAGTATTTCATGGAAACTATCATTATCCTCCATCATAAGGGGCATAAGGTATTATGGAAATAATTAGTATCTCCGAATTATCGGTATTTTGGTTGAAAGTAGAAGCGGCAAATGCTGTCGTCTGGAGTTTAGACGCAGAAAAATTGGTACAGGACTATACCATTAATACTAGTCCAGTCTTGGACCAGTAATAAGGTTATTTGGTGAGTTGAGCCTAACCCGAGGGTGGGTGAAACACGACAAGAAAGGAAACAAACCATTTGGCTCCTGTTCAAAACCGGATTGGATTGTGGGTTTTTTTTTCTTTTTTTGTACTTTGTACCCCTAATGGCATAGGTAGTTAAATAATAAAAATGATATAACTACCATTCAAATTGTCATTTTAGCACATAAATCAATCTTTTTATAAAAAAAAATAAACACATAAATGATCATTTGATTGATATGTAATTACTTTGTATATGAGTGATACCCCTTTCGTACCTATATTTATAACAATATACTTCTCTTTTATTTCAAAAAAAAAAATACATAAACTAATCTTTACAATATTATTATATGCGTATTTGAAAATCTATCGTTTTCTTACATACTTATCTTTTAAAAAACCAGTTTGTTTTCTAATACGTTATGCTATTTGCACATTAGTAAATTAAGATTTTTTTTCAATGTGTACTCCTTTATAGTTTTTCGTTAACAAAAGAACTTCTGTTGAAGAAAAGAGAACCTATAAAAGAGGAAAGGATAAGGCATTCTACAACCAAAAACATGGTAAAAGGTAATACAAAAATAGAGTAGAAAAGGTAGTAGAAAGTTGTCCTCCTCGGAGTCTCTTTAGGTTAAGGCACATGAATATTTTAAAGATTATCTCTGGCAATGTTTCATATGGACTGGCTAGCTATCTTTTCTTACAGGTAACTGAACTTTCTCTCCTTTGTTATTCTCTCTCTTGGGAGGATATCTATTCTCTGTATTCTTCTTTCTCTATCTAATAATAATTCATTTCTATAAAAAATATATAAAACAAAAATCTTTAGGACAAAATAGAGAGCAAATCCCTATGCTACATAGATAGAGGCACTCAGGCATCCTTCCAAAATTGTTGTAGGCTCTAGCCCGAAGTGAAGCGAAGAAACTTGTCATAATCCAAATCATGTGATGCAGTTAAAAATAACTTGAAAGCGTTCCAATTCCAACCAAATGAGCCACAAACTGAAGAAAATATACCCTCCCTAGAACATTTTCTACTCTTTTGAGCATACCACTACACCATAAGGTAAAAGAGATTTTGTTTGGGATAGAAAAAGAACATATTAATATAGGAAGAAACAGACAGATAAGAAAGATTAGATATCCTCTGAAATAAAAAATAAATGTGGAAATATGGGATTATGATTTGTAATTAAATGTCAAGATTAGTGGGATTTAGTTAGGATAGGTTTCTATTTTTAAAGATGAGAGAATCTCTCCTAATTAGTTGTTTGTTTCCTTCTTTAGTATCTAGAGATACTGATTGCATAATATACGGCTACAAATTAGAAGTTCAATTTGTAAATATACACTCACTTTGTATCTAGAATTGACACAAGAATAAAAATATTTTCTTCATGGTATCAGAGCACTAGATTTGAACCATGAGGGAAAAAAACAATTTCTTCCATGACAAGGCAGAACGAAAGGATCAATCTAGGAAGTAATGTCCAGACCTAAAGTAGTTCACTCCGGTAACACCAGCGCCACAGAATGAATTATTCTTCCCATAACAGGTCACAAACTCAATTGACAGAACTTTGTTCAATGGGCACAGTCTGTCTGACTTTTCATATGCGGGAAAGATAAGGAAGAGTACCTTACGGTAGTCGTTGTTCAGCCGAAGGAAGATGATCCAAGACACTAGACCTAGAAACTAGAAAATAGCATGGTGATGTCTTGATTAATTAATTCTATGACCAATGACATAGGAGAAAACTTCATGTACTATGGCACAGCAAAGAAGATATGGGATGCAGCTAGAGAGACCTACTCCAACATCGATAATATCTCTACGATTTTTTAAATCAAAAGTATTCTCCATGATCTTTGACAAGTAGATTCAACTGTTACTGAATACTTCAATGTCCTTACACGGTATTAGCAACAACCCGATATTTATGAAGAATTGGTGTGGAAGTGTTCCGAAGATAGACTCCTATACAAGAAGGGCGTTGAAAAGGAACGTATTTACAAATTCTTACTTGGCCTTAAATTCGCTAAGAAGAAAGCAGACAAAAAGGGATGTTAAGAAGCCAAAATTCCTCTAAAAATCTTGAGAACTCAGTCCTATCTCTGCACAAGAAACTCAATCCAACAACAACAACCAAATAAAAAAAAATCATCCATGGTGCGATCATAGCAGAAAAATTGGACACATAAAAGCGACTTGCTAGCATCTACACGGTAAGCCTACCGATTGGAAACCTTCTTGGCCACACCAAAACAGAGGAGATTGAGGCTATACCGCTATAGCCGAAGAAGAAAAATCTAACACAACCCCAAATTCCAGTCTTTTTAGCGAAAAGCAATTGAAGGCACCACAGAAAATGTTCCAACAAACTCTTTAATCCACTGGAGCAACTACTAGTACTGCACATATAGCCCAGAAAGGTATTTTTTGTCATGCCCTCAATGTTAGACAGGAAAACCACACTATATGTATAGTGGACTCAAGAGCATCAGATCACATAATTGGAAATCTTATGATTTTTTATGAATATATACCTTGCCATAACAATTCCTCTATTCGAATTGCTGATGGAACCCTTTCAAGGGTAGTTGGCGCGGGTGCAATTATTATTTCTAAGGACATTACCCCTCACTCTGTACTCTATGTACTGAAATTGGATTGCAACTTATTATCTATAAGTACACTAACACGGGATCTTAATTATGGTATTAAATTTCCTCCACACATGCGTGAATTTCAGGACTTGTACTCTTGGAAGAGGATTGGTAATGATGAGGTGCGTGTTGGACTTTATCTCCTAAGAGCTGAGGAAATTCAAAAGCCACCAATGAAGACTGCTTGTATAGTTTCCAACCGTAGTACCAAAACAAATAGTCTTCCAGAAGATTTCAATGCGAAATATGTCATTTGTCCAAACTCAATCGCAATTCTTATTCCATTCAACCATACAAATCATCTCATCCCCTTTTCTTAATACACAATGATATTTGGGGAGCCTCTAGAATCAACAACATTTTTTTCAAATAAAAGTAAATTATTATATGCACAAGATATCAAGAGGGTACCGCCCATAAACAAAATAGTTACAAATCTATCAATTAGTCAATGACCACACCCATATCATCAATATTTTTAATATCATAACCCAACAAAATAGCTCCAAAAATATGTATCCATCTATTTTTAATGGTGCCAAAGTTAGTCTCTATTCCCTCAAAAACTCTATCATTTCTTTCTTTCCAAATTATCTAAAAAATAGTAAATGGATTTGTAGATAGTTTGTCACATTTGTTGATGACCTCTGTTAATCACCTTTGTTGATTCCTCATGAAAAAGAAATCAAAAGTAAAGAAAATATTTGAAAACTTTAATAACATGGCTCAGACGAATTTCAGGCAAAAATTCAAGTCCTTCAAACAGACAATGCTCGAAAATACTACCACAACATCCTCGAGTCATATCTTTTGGAGAATGATATTATTCATCAAAGTTCGTGCATTGATACTCCGTGGCAAAATGGAGCTGCAAAAAGAAAAAAATAAACACTTGATGGAAGTTGCACGGTCACTCATGATAGCTTCAAACGTGCCAAAACAATTCTGAGGTGAAGCAATACTCACAGTAACTTATTGGATCAACCGAATGCCTTCTAGAATTCTCAAATTTAAAACCCCATTTCAAATCCTTCTCGCTACATATCCATCAATTCGAATAATCTCATCTATCCAGTCAAGGTATTCGAGTATACTATTTTTGTTCACATCCATAAGTCCCAACGTAACAAACTCAATCCAAAAGCTACTAAATACATTTTTCTAGGATATTATCTACACCAAAAAAGGATACAAGTGTTACTCTCCTGCAACCAAGAAATTATACACCTCCATGAATGTCACTTTTTTCGAAAATCAACTCTTCTATCCTCAAAATGCAATCCAAATGGAGAACTAGTCCACGGATAAATTTTATTTTTGGGAAATCGAAACCAACACTACTTCTCCTTCGAGTTCATCACTACCTCCACAAACAATTACTATTCCTATCCTTGAAAACAATTCCTTGGATGTCCTTCTACCACTCCTAAATTAACCACACAAGACAGTAAAAAGGTAATGGTATATTCCAGAAAAAAGCTTAAAGAAAAGCCCGAGAAACCTCCTCAAAAGGAGCAAGAGAACAGCATTCCATCTTTACATAACCAAGAATTGGACCGAAATTCAAGCAATCTGAACTTACAACCAGGTAACATGATTCATGATCTAAACTTCAATATAACCTGAATGATCTTAATCAACCTATTGCTTTAAGGAAATGGGTAAGATATTGCATTAAGCATCCAATCTGTAATCATGTGTATTACGAAAAGCTTTCACAGAATTTCCAGGCATTCATTTCTTCTCTCGAAGATGATCATATCTCATCTAACATCCAAGAAGCATTTCAACAGCCTGAATGAAAATCTGTTGTTTGGGAAGAAATACAATTCTTGGAGAAAAATGGGACATAGGAAATCTCGAAATTACTAAAGAATAGGAGACCTGTTGGATGCAAATAGATATTCACTGTGAAGCATAATCCAAATGAAAGCATAATACAAATGAAAGCATAAACAGGTACAAGACACGACTAGTAATTAAAGAGTTCACTCAACACTATGGCATTGATGATGAAGAAACCTTTGCGCTAGTAGCAAAACTCAACTCCATCAAAGCATTACCGTCAGTTGCAATAAATTTGGACTAGAATATGCACCAACTTGATATAAAAAATGCATTTCTAAACGGAAAACTAGAAAATGAAGTCTACATGAAGATTCCACCTAGTACGGGAACTCCAAAAAACTCAAGAAAAGTCTACAAGATGAGAAAGTCCATATATGGTCAAAAATAGTCACCTAGGGTCTGGTTTGATCGACTAACCAGAATTGTAAAAAAAACATGAATTCATCCAATTCAAGCAGATCACACATTGTTTGTGAAGCATTCTAAGGTATATAGACTTTATTCATTACCTATGTTGATGATATTATAATTACCGAAAACGATGAACAAGTGATAGGGAGTCTCAAAAAACTGCTAGCAAGAGAATTTGACATCAAAGATCTTAGACAACTCAGATACTTTCTTGACATCGAAGTTGGTCGAACTAAAGAGGGAATTGTGGTCACACAAAGAAAATGTCTTTGATCTGCTTCAGAAAACTAGAATGTTGGGATGTAAGCCAGTAAACACGCCTCGATCATATTGGTAAGATTGATGAAGATACTAAAAATCCTCCAACTAGCAAGACAAGTACCAGAAATTAGTATAAAAGTTGATCTATTTAACTTACACAAGATCTGATATTAGTTTCTCTGTTAGCATGGTAAGCCGCTATATGAACAACCCGACTAAGAGACACATGAAAGTTGCATACAGAATTTTACAATACCTCAAGAAGAGCCCAAGTAGAGGAGTTTACTTCAAGAAAACCTCAAGTAGGGAAGTTGAGGTGTTCATTGATGCGCATTAGGCAGGATTCTTGACGGATTGAAGATAAACTACTGGGTTCCTACGTGTGGGGGAACTTGGTGACTTGGAGAAATAAAAAGCAGTTCGCAGTGGCGAGAAGCAGTGCAAAGGTAGAATTCAGAGCAATGGCTCATGGTAATGTGAAGGAATGTGACTTCAAGAATATTCAAGAATCTTGCATTACATTAAACTTCACTA